ATACAGTCAAACCTCTCTAAATGCTTTAAATGCTCTAAAGCTGATAGCTTGCATTTGGAGAACGATAAGAAAAATGCATTTATAGAAATCTAGTGTATATTTGGGGTATAGTTAAAGATTGCATTTAGGGAAAATCTGCATTTGGAGGTTGCATTTAGAGAGGTGTTACATTTAGAGAAGCCTGACAGTATATTCATTTATGATAAAGATAACATATAAGAATGAATTACTATATTATTTAATTAAAAATAGGTACATCATTATTTGATCTTGATAAAGCACTCCGAAATCATGATCCGCCATTAACCCTTGATTCTGAGACTGTACCTGACATAGTAAGAGTATCTGGTGTTATAGCAGTAGGAGCACATGGCTCAAATATCGGTTCAGGCATTATGCCAGATCAACTTTTCTCAATGAAAATTGTCACTGGGTCTGGCGAAGTATGTGAATTTAGCGAAGAAATAAGCAAATCAGAATTCAATGCTGCAAAAGTGAATTTAGGTATCTACTAAGCTTTTACTTTTAATTATTACTTTTCTTTAGCTATTTAACTTTATTAACGTTTAGGTTTACTTGGCATAATGTACTCTTTGACTTTCCGAGTACAACCGATTTACAATCTTCGTAAGATTGACAGCTATATTCCAATGAACGTATTTCTTAAGCCACAGACTATTAAAAATCTTGTAGACTCATCAGATAGTATTGATATAATTTATTGGCCATTCAATGGATACAATCAGAGTGATCCAAATCCTCTTGACCCTAATAGAGATATAGTTTTGGTTACTAGATGGGTACGAACTGATGAATCTGCGAGTTTCACACAACAACAACTCAAACAATTCCGTGAAGCTCAAAGACAGAATATTATTAACAATTCTGTGCTCTATAATAGTCTCTTGCAAAATCCTGAGGCAACTCCGAATATTTCCGCCAAAGTATGGAATAGTATTGCTAGGAATGATAATGTTAGTTCTGTATTTCAGGCTCCTGATGCTATCCATTTCTTTGGTGGCTCAGAAAACATGAGGTCTCATATGATGCAAATTGCATTCAAAATTGATCCGGATTTTTCCAATTTAGCTGCAGAATTTTCTTACATAATTCAAACAGTGAGTTTATCTAATATTCTATTTTTAATATTTTTGTTAGTTTTCTTTAAAATGACATTATATTTTGTAGATATATGAATTTGCAAAAAAAAGAAAATTTCCATTTAATCAATTTTTACATATTAGAATCATAAAATCCAGTGAAGCATTATTATCTAATACTTTCGATCATGATCCAGAAACTTTGTATTGTCAAATAGATTTTGTAACAAATCTTGGCACTTCTGGATGGGAAGAATTTGCACAATTAATGGCGCAGAGATATTTTGATAAGTACAAAGCAAAGTAAGGAATTATCAAATTTTTTCTTTAAAACAACCTTCATTAATTAATTAATTATACAAACTCATTTACTATAGACCTCATTGGGGAAAACAATGGGAGATTATTCCAAACGTGCAATCTTATCTTTCTGGTGTTTTATCAGATCAAATTAAACAATTCGAGAAAGTACGCGCAAAGCATGACCCCGATAAAATTTTCTTTGATAATAAGTCTTTACAGGATATATTTAGTCTTGCTTTATCTTCATGAAATAGCAAAGGCTCAATGAAAAAGAAAAATTAATGACGATACTAAAGATTAGTTTGTAACCTAACAATATTATATAGAACAATTATGCGACCATAAAGTGTGTAAGAAACTTTAATCTTGCTTTATCTTCATGAAATAGCAATGGCTCAATGAAAAAGAAAATTAATGACGATACTAAGATTAGTTTGTAATCCAACAATATTATATAAAACAATTATGTGACCATAAAGTGTGTAAGAAACTTTTATTAATATAGATTAACAAATTATGTATGATATATTTGATTTAGATAAATATAGTTCATCAATTATGTCCAGTTATTACTCGTGAAATTAGCAATATTTACTCAAGTCTCTGAAAATCTCAATCTAGAATGTGTATATATAGCATTTGAAGTTGCCGCCTATCTGAAGTTGCTTTATTTAAAGTTGCGACTTTAAATATCTAAAGTTGTACTTTAGATAAAAAAAGCCTAAAATTGTTATTTTAAATATTTGAAGTTGCTACTTAAAATATCTAAAATTGCTATTTAAATATTTAAAATAAGCAAATTTAGTTATTTAAGGTTATTACTTTAAATATTTGATGTTGTTGCTTTAGATAGAGGTTGTAACCTCAAATATCTAAAGTGGTTTTCTACTTGAAGTAGCAACTTTAGATATCTGAAGTAGCAATTTTAAATACCTAAAGTAGCAACAATTTCAAATATTTAAAATAACAATTTTAAGGTTCTACCAAAAAATCCTGACATCCAAAATCTCGACAGGCCATAATACTGACATCACGTGATGTGACAATTAAAATTTAACGTCTGACAATGAATGTTAATGTGATTACTAATCCTTAAATATTAATTGTCACGTCGAGATTAGTGATGTGCAATGCGATGCGCATAATCATTAGGGTTGGAAAGTTACCGTAATTTTACGTAATTTTATGTAAATTTGTGTAAGTTTCTGAAATCAAAATTACATGTAATTTGATCATGTGATTAATTTGAGCCAAAATTTTGAAAACTATCATAAAAATAAATATAAAATTAAAGTTCTGAACACAATGATGGATATCTATTAATGCCGGCAAAACTTTTGTGATGTCAGGATTTTTTGGTAGAACCTTAAAATTGTTATTTTAAATATTTGAAATTGTTGCTACTTTAGGTATTTAAAATTGCTACTTCAGATATCTAAAGTTGCTACTTCAAGTAGAAAACCACTTTAGATATTTGAGGTTACAACCTCTATCTAAAGCAACAACATCAAATATTTAAAGTAATAACCTTAAATAACTAAATTTGCTTATTTTAAATATTTAAATAGCAATTTTAGATATTTTAAGTAGCAACTTCAAATATTTAAAATAACAATTTTAGGCTTTTTTTATCTAAAGTACAACTTTAGATATTTAAAGTCGCAACTTTAAATAAAGCAACTTCAGATAGGCGGCAACTTCAAATGCTATATATACACATTCTAGATTGAGATTTTCAGAGACTTGAGTAAATATTGCTAATTTCACGAGTAATAACTGGACATAATTGATGAACTATATTTATCTAAATCAAATATATCATACATAATTTGTTAATCTATATTAATAAAAGTTTCTTACACACTTTATGGTCACATAATTGTTTTATATAATATTGTTGGATTACAAACTAATCTTAGTATCGTCATTAATTTTCTTTTTCATTGAGCCATTGCTATTTCATGAAGATAAAGCAAGATTAAAGTTTCTTACACACTTTATGGTCGCATAATTGTTCTATATAATATTGTTAGGTTACAAACTAATCTTTAGTATCGTCATTAATTTTTCTTTTTCATTGAGCCTTTGCTATTTCATGAAGATAAAGCAAGACTAAATATATCCTGTAAAGACTTATTATCAAAGAAAATTTTATCGGGGTCATGCTTTGCGCGTACTTTCTCGAATTGTTTAATTTGATCTGATAAAACACCAGAAAGATAAGATTGCACGTTTGGAATAATCTCCCATTGTTTTCCCCAATGAGGTCTATAGTAAATGAGTTTGTATAATTAATTAATTAATGAAGGTTGTTTTAAAGAAAAAATTTGATAATTCCTTACTTTGCTTTGTACTTATCAAAATATCTCTGCGCCATTAATTGTGCAAATTCTTCCCATCCAGAAGTGCCAAGATTTGTTACAAAATCTATTTGACAATACAAAGTTTCTGGATCATGATCGAAAGTATTAGATAATAATGCTTCACTGGATTTTATGATTCTAATATGTAAAAATTGATTAAATGGAAATTTTCTTTTTTTTGCAAATTCATATATCTACAAAATATAATGTCATTTTAAAGAAAACTAACAAAAATATTAAAAATAGAATATTAGATAAACTCACTGTTTGAATTATGTAAGAAAATTCTGCAGCTAAATTGGAAAAATCCGGATCAATTTTGAATGCAATTTGCATCATATGAGACCTCATGTTTTCTGAGCCACCAAAGAAATGGATAGCATCAGGAGCCTGAAATACAGAACTAACATTATCATTCCTAGCAATACTATTCCATACTTTGGCGGAAATATTCGGAGTTGCCTCAGGATTTTGCAAGAGACTATTATAGAGCACAGAATTGTTAATAATATTCTGTCTTTGAGCTTCACGGAATTGTTTGAGTTGTTGTTGTGTGAAACTCGCAGATTCATCAGTTCGTACCCATCTAGTAACCAAAACTATATCTCTATTAGGGTCAAGAGGATTTGGATCACTCTGATTGTATCCATTGAATGGCCAATAAATTATATCAATACTATCTGATGAGTCTACAAGATTTTTAATAGTCTGTGGCTTAAGAAATACGTTCATTGGAATATAGCTGTCAATCTTACGAAGATTGTAAATCGGTTGTACTCGGAAAGTCAAAGAGTACATTATGCCAAGTAAACCTAAACGTTAATAAAGTTAAATAGCTAAAGAAAAGTAATAATTAAAAGTAAAAGCTTAGTAGATACCTAAATTCACTTTTGCAGCATTGAATTCTGATTTGCTTATTTCTTCGCTAAATTCACATACTTCGCCAGACCCAGTGACAATTTTCATTGAGAAAAGTTGATCTGGCATAATGCCTGAACCGATATTTGAGCCATGTGCTCCTACTGCTATAACACCAGATACTCTTACTATGTCAGGTACAGTCTCAGAATCAAGGGTTAATGGCGGATCATGATTTCGGAGTGCTTTATCAAGATCAAATAATGATGTACCTATTTTTAATTAAATAATATAGTAATTCATTCTTATATGTTATCTTTATCATAAATGAATATACTGTCAGGCTTCTCTAAATGTAACACCTCTCTAAATGCAACCTCCAAATGCAGATTTTCCCTAAATGCAATCTTTAACTATACCCCAAATATACACTAGATTTCTATAAATGCATTTTTCTTATCGTTCTCCAAATGCAAGCTATCAGCTTTAGAGCATTTAAAGCATTTAGAGAGGTTTGACTGTAT